TAATCACAAAAAACTAGCAATTTATGTAAAAAAAACTAACAATTAATAACCATGAAAACAAGGTAACAATTTATAACTAGCAAAAAAATAACAGTTAATAATTAATAAAAAATAACACATAAGAACCATTAAGTGATGCCAGGAAAACTTAAGTGAAGACGATTAAGAGCTGCACAAGTCGAAAGAGCTAATTATTTAATTTTTATAAATTATTAATAAATTTTTTTAATTAATTAACTTTTATAAACGCACTGTTGTATTTATAGAACCTATTATTTTATTTTACATTTAAAATTATTATCGTTAACTATTTCACACAATGTATTATAGGTAAGCAAACAATTTTTAAACTTATTGTTTTCTTTGTGTACCGCCAAATTTCGAACTTGTTAGAAGTGTTCAAAAAATAAATAAATAAAAATAAAGTTTGGGAATCACTGATTCAGACATTAGGTGTCTGAAGATTCCACAGCCACAATTGTACTCAAACTTTCGAGAACATTAACAGTCATTTTAATGAGCAAGCAAACACTTTAACCAAATAAATCTCGAAACGGAACACACTATAAACAAAAGAAAACAATTTTTTTTCTTCAAAAGATAGATGAATGGCTAAAAGATAGATTGTGCAACTCATAATAAATGCCTCGCTTTGTCACCTGTAATGGAAACAATTCATCCTTCCAAAATTCTCATTTTAGGATCTTTAATCAGTATTATTCTGGCAAAGAAGAGATAAAAATGCATCATCACCCCCCTCTTCACGACGTGTTAAGAAATTTTTGAGCGTTTTAAAACAGGAGGGTGATTTGTGCTTTCACTTTTCTTCGATAGCTTCATTTAAAAATTTCCCCTTCCCCCCTCTCCCTCTCCTGTATTTAGGAACGGAAAACGAGCAGATAATGGGCATGGAGGATTATAAATTTCCATTACTGTGAACGGAGAGGAATGTAACGAAGTAATCGAGATGAATGGGTTTAGCCATTACTCAAAACTTCACTCCCTCTCTCTCTCTCTGCCCCGATCAAGAGAGAGAAAACAACACAACCCGATCATTTATGTAAAAATTGCGTTGTTCTAACTCTTACGGGAATAAGTGCCATATTCTGCACTACAAAAGAAAAATACAAATCATATCTTATTCGGTAAAGTAAATAATATACAAAATAGAAAGTAAACACTACTTAATATAATTCCTGTCAGAACGGGTTTTAACCGTTCATTTTATTTAAATAGTTCAGCGGTCTCAATCTGCTCATTTTCTTGCTGTTGGGGACCCATCAACGATTGTTCACTGTATCCAATATCTTTGAAAAAAGGCCGGGATAGCCTGATTGGTAGGGAACTGGGCTCCTATCCAAGAGTTCGTGGGTTCGATCCCAGCCTGCCGAAGACTCCCCGTTTGGTGACTGATGCACGTTAAATCTGTCGAGTCGCAAAGTCTTCCATGTTCCCATAACAAATCAATACTTCTGAGGGTACTGATCTAGGAATATCCTCGTCTTCTGAATTGGTTCAAAATGAAAAGGCTACGGAGTTGAATATTAGTAGTCGTAAGCTCAAAAATGGGTCGGCTGTTCAACGACGGTTGTAAAATAAAATATCTTTCAAAAAAGAGGCATGGTGTCACGGGGGATAGAGCGTTCACCTTTCAATTGATTGCAATGGCAATGTCTGGTCGATACGAATTCCGCATCCAGCTTGCACTGACCACAGTGCTGACATATAATATCCTCAGTGGTAGACGGAGCATGGGCTTCAGTCCTCTTGCCGTCGGGCTAACCGTGGGAGGGTTTCCAGATTTTCCTCTCCATGTAACGCAAATGCGGGTTGGTTCCATCAAAAAGTCCTCCACGAAGGGAAAATTTCTCCCTATACTTGATCGAAGAGTTCCCTTGTCTTCTGGATAGGGTTCAAAATGACTAGGCTACGAAGTTGAACATGTAAACCCAAAAATTGGGTCGGCTCTCCAACGACAGTTATAATATAAAATAAAATAGCTGTGAAAGAATTATCTGCAGTACTGTCAGAAATAGTGAAGGTAATTTGCTGTATAAATTATTAATTCATTAAACATGCCTCTCATCGAGGATTGGGTATTTCTTCCACCAACGAAATTATCTTATCGAAGCGAGGAAATAAAATTCTCCATACAATTAAGTGTTTGTCATAGGAATTTTTCATCTTTTCAGTTTCCGTCATTTTAGTAAATCCTTCAGATGGTAGTTTTTTGTCACTTTTGAAGAAAGTTGAAATAGTTCTGCGCAACCCATTCCCTCTCTGTTTTCGGATACACTCGCATGAGTCATTCCAGTGAAATTCTAAATACTCCTTTATGATGTCTATTACATCTTTTCTAATTCAAGTCATGCTTTTTGAACTTATCACATTTGTATCATTTATTTAAATAGCTGCTGAAAAAAAAGAATTATTCACTATAACCGCATGAAACTGCCTTATTTAATTCAGTCGGAACCACTGAGGCTTTCATTGCAACTTAGTGTTCACCATTTCCGGTTTTATTATAAGGAAGTTAGACAGTATATTTTAAAAAAATATGATCAAACGAAAACATTTTCCACCTTTAAAGCTTCCCATTGTTAAAGAAACTCGGTATATTAAATCACTTATAAAAAACACAAGCGCGATATATTTTTTTTACCCTGTTAGAATAAAATAAAAACTCATTGATTCAATTGTAAAATTCAAACAAAATGACAGGCAAAGTTCAATACGGTCGAAGTTTCTTGTTTATTGAATCGAAACTATAGTATGCCCTTTCAAGTGCCTTTATGTGTGCTTTGTTAATGCTGTTTTTTAACTCAAATGCAGCACTAAGTACAACTTATAAACATTTAAAACAATGATTTGATAACTCGGAATATCGGCCACCAGTCACATTGGAAGAGTTTACTATACAGATGTCAAAAGCGATGAACTAGATCATTTATTTTTCTGGAATTTGAAAACGGTAATAAGTTACAAAACGATGAGTGATCTAGTTGCACCTGCGTTATTGTTGCATTTTTTTAATAATCTAGTTACGCCACCGATGTTCTTCAGTTTTTGATTTAATCTTGCGTATGATGTTTATTATTCGGTAGAACTGTTGTTTAAGATTATTAAAAAGTTGTTAAGTTTTTAACGTTAGTATGGAAAGATTTTTCAAACAGAGTAGTGTTTTAATTATGTTCTAGTTCGTGCTTTAATATTTCAGTTATATTTTTAATCAGTTTTAGTTCACGTCTTAACTACAGTTGGACTTCTATTTAACGAACTTCCATTTTGCGAATTTCTCTATTTAGCAATTTTTTTTCTGAAGAACAAAGAACATTTTGGTAATTTCTTCATAAAAAAGCTTCCAAACAACGAAAGGAATTTCCTATTTTACGAACTTTTCTTTGAGATTCACTTACCCTATTTCCCAAAATATTCAAACATTTCAAACTTTTTAACGCATTTTATGAGGGAAATTGATTTTCGAAGCCACTTTAACTTATAGAGAAAGCAGAAAAATCTCTTTTCGATTTTTCATTGCGTTTCAAACGAAAAACTCAGACAAAATTAACGGACTTAATCAGCAGTAATTAAAATTAAGAGCGCATGTGGTAATACATGCTTACAATTACTTTTATAATAAATGCAGCCATAATTTTACACATTTGTTAAAATTTCTTTAGTTGAAAATGTTTGTAGTATGATATTGTAACACTGGGTAATGTTTTGCTCTATTCTTGCTTTCCATGCAGATTTCTTTTAGGGTTAAGATTTATAAAGTAAATAGTAGATACTAGTTTACACAATAAAAGTGTATCCATTGCTATTTTAATTGTGCCTAGTGTTTAGGAATATAAACCTGTTTTGTGTTGTTTAAGTATTTTAAAAGTTGATTTTCTATTTACTGGATTTTCCATATAACGAACTTATTATCGGGATTTAAAGACTTCGTTAAATAGAGATCCGACAGTACTTCTTTTCATATTATTATATTTTGATGTATTTTTACTGACCTAATATTAATGGAGCTAATGGAATGCTATTGTAATAAAATAACTGGTATTATAGAATCTCGATTATTCGAGTTTATTGGGATCGCTAGTACCTCGGATATCGGAAATCAACGTTAATTGAAACTGTATATAAAACTCACTGTATATAAAATTTAACATCGTTTGGAATTTTTTAAATGGAAAGGAGGTTTTTTAAATGATATAAATGAACATACCTAAAGTTGTGCTTCGCAGCTCAACAAATTTAAAAAGGAAATCAACTACTAGCAATATATTTTAAAAAGCAAATTAATTTTTTTAAATCTATCTTTAAAATTAAACTAAAAGATGCATTTTCGAAAGTAACTCAAATCTCAAGAAATTATTGTATTTTTTAAATTTAATATGCATTATTTTTGTTAATTTTACGTTAACTGTTTCTTAAAATATTCTGTTACCTTTCCTTGCAAAAGTACACTGTTGGAAAAGTACGGTACGGTTAACACATTGCCACTTGGTGTTTAATAGGGCAACTGGAAACAAAACATTGTTCGCCATTGTTGAATTCTCAGGATGCAATATTTCTTGCAAGATGAGTGTTTTCGGTGGCAGTAGTGACGGACAGCCAACTTAAAACTGTGGTCTTTTTCAGGGCTCAATCAGAAAAAAAAAGACTGTTATCGGCTTGGTAAAGAGAAACTTCGGTTAATCGAGGATCTTCTGCACATGTGTAAAATTTTGTCGATCAGGAAAGTTGGCACAAATTGAAAAAGAATTATATCGTATTTGGTACATACAGTCCTGAGCCAAATTATTAGACCCGCTGTAAGATTCTATCTAAAATAGAATCTTGTAGTGCGTCTAAACAATGTGGCCAGGTACTGTAGTTTCCATATGTTTACCGATAAATCTCGTTGTTTATCGTCATATTTAGCTGAAAATGGCGAATTTTTTATTTTACAAAAAAGAACCTAAAATACATCATAGGAATAAAATAAAAAATGTACTCACATCGACGCTAACTCCTTTTAGGGGAAAGAACTGACCGGGGGGTTTGTCCCTGGGCACGTATCTATAAAATTCTACGTCGTCTCTATACCATTTTATGGAATAAAGTGGATCTCCTTCCAGATCATAAGCACACTGTAGTTGTACATCTTCTCCTACCACTACAAGATTTGGAACATGAAGAGAAACTAGTTTTAAGCACCACGCACCTGAAAACACACAACAACATTTCAATATCGTCTGCAAAATAAAAGAAAATCATTTCAGCATGCAACAGTGTTGACAGAACTTAAGATTAAAAAGTAGCGAATGGGAGCTTTAAAAGTGGCGGATTCGAACACTTCGTAGCCCCTCAAAAAGTACGTTATATATATATACCAATTTCTTTTAAAAAGAAGTAAAATTTCAATGAACTGCGTTAAAAATTTCACCAAATTCAATGTTATCGTTTTACCTCAGATTAAAAGTCACGTGATTTATTTTTTCCGGAAGATAAACGGTTAATAATGGTTGGAGCTTAAGATTCTTTTCCTATCATACTAGCCGTGTATTTTTCCATTTTGCGATTTCACGAGTCTACGATTTGAAACATAGATATGGAAAGATTATAAACTCCGAGCAGCAAAACAAATCAAGAATTAAAAAAAAAAACGGTCCTTTCAGAATCTTTTTGTTATGGGAAGAAAGAAAAAAAAACTTGAAAAATAAAAACATTTCTGTAGCGCATTTTCAAGATTTGTAGCTATCGAAAAATAATGAGTAGCTCAAACAGTTACGGGTACTCCAAATTTGATTTTTAGTAGCGGGGACTTTTAAAAGTAGCCCAAAGCCCAATCTGGCAACACTGGCATGGATGAATAAGCCAAATATATGCGGCGTAAGATTAGAATAAAACTTCCACTTTACAACTTCCGGTATAGTAAGGCTAATCTTTAAAAACACGCCATCCTGTATTGTTATGACAGTTGTTCTCTTTACAATATGTGTTTATTTATTCAATTTGTAAATGAAAAATGTCAAATTAAATCTTATATTTTAAGAGCATCACTTTTAACAGCTGGGAAGATGACTGGAGGTCTAGTGACAAGGGAAGACAAACTTATAAATTCTTTAAAGACCCTAGTATAAAGCGCCTGCATTAGCAGAGGTCTAAATCCTAGATAACTAATCATAATTAATAAAAAACGATTCTTGCCAGTTTTGCTAATTCAAGATGTACAGTGCATAAAGAACATATCACCTTGAATAACTTTTGATCTAATGATCGGATCTTTACGTTCTAGGACTCATTCTTAATGGTTTGAGGGGTTAACCTCAAGTATGCTAATCAGTTAGCGCAGACGATATTTTAAGTTACGAAATCAGACACAAAAACGTACTTTCTCTGAATAAACACACTTTTTCAACCGATTTGGATTTCTTACCTTCAAAATAGAGGGAGTGGTCACAATCTGGGAAATATGGTCAAAATAGTTTGGTCCCCTTAATGCTAATTTTACATTTTGCGTATTTCGCTACATCTCGAGAACTTCTTAAGCGATTTGAAAAATGTTCACACACAATTATAAAATTCATGCATAAATACTTTTTTGTAAATATTTAATATTTTTTATTATTTTATTTAATATTGTCGAAAAAGTTTTGAAATGTAAGGCATACAACTTTTTACATCGCTTAAAAGCAAATAATTTTACATGGCGAAATACAAAATTTTTGTGAAATTAGTAGAATAGTTTCTGAAAAATCGAATTTCAAAAAAGTTATATTTTAAAACTTCGATTTCACGGGAACTATTCATTCAAATATTGTATTTTGAAATGTATAATTATATTCTTTAAAATGAGTTAAAAAATGGTATACCTTACAATTCAAAATGTTTCTAATATTCTAATATTAAATATTAATGTTCTAATATTAAATAAAATAATAAAAAATAATAAATATTAACTAATTATCTTTGGATAAACGAATTTTATAATTGCATGCAAAAAATTTTCAATTCACTTAAAAATTTCTCCCAATATGGTGAAATAAGCAAAAAGTAAAATTACCATTAAGGAGCCCAAACTTTGGATCGCCCTCCTGATTAAGGGGACTATATTTCCGAAATTGTTGCTACCCCCTTACATTTTGGGGGTCAGAAATCTGAATCCATTGAGAAAAAAAAATTAGTTTATGAGAAAGTGTGTTTTTGCTTCAGATTTCGTAACTTAAAACATCGTCTCCGCTAATTGATCAGCATACTTGAGGTTAATCCCTCAAACCATTAAGATTGAGTAAGATCCGATCATTAAATCAAAAGTCATTCAGGGTGGTTCATTTTTTGACGCAATGTTCCCTTCACATTACCTTATGTGCAGCACTTTCATAACTAGTAAAATGAGTTATCCGAAGCTTTGATAAGATTTGTGGTCAAACAGTCGAATGTTTAGTTCTCATTTTGAATATTGAAAAGCCTTCATATCAAAGTCAAAATTTTTGATGGTTTATGTTGGTTTCAGTGAGATTCATGATGGTCCAACATCATTTGATGGTCCCCATCATCCAACATTTTCCATTATGCCTTCATGTTAACAAAACTTCCATCATTCCATGATGGAAAATGTTACTTTATTACTATGATGGTCAACCATCAAGAGAAGTTTGACTCTCATGGACCAACAATCCATGATGGTTCTTGATGGTTTTAACCATACATTTCCACGATGGTTTAATGGGAATTCTTGTTGGTTCTTAAGAATATACCATCAGAACAATTTGGTTTCTTTATGTTGGACTATCATAACTCAGTCCAAATTCCTATATTAGAATGATGGTTGTTCATGATCGTTTCAACATTTGATTTCTAAGAAACTATGATGGAAATTTCTGATGGTTTAACTCGAACAAATTAACAAAACAAGTTGATATTCTTATGTTGGACCATCAGATATCAGATCGACTTGGGGTGATGGTTTCTTATGTTGGTTACCATCAAAAATATAATGTTTCATGATGGAGTTGTTGATGGTTACCATCAAGATTATGCTGATCCATCAATGGAAAACCATCAAAAATTTTGTGTTGGGTACTTCGACGAACCAAGAGCGCAGAATTCATCATTTCCTTCAATCGTAGAAAAGCAGTATGCAAATACTGCAACAAGCCAATTTGTGGAAAAGAACACATTTTCCCTTTGTCAAGCGTGCAAACGATAATTTTACCATATATCTGTTTCCTAATTGAAATAAATACTTTTTTTTTAAGTTAGGATCATTTGTCGGAAATAAATATAGGAAGTTTTTCTAATTCGAATGATTTGTTACAGATTAACATTTATTCAAGTCGAATTATCTAAAGGTTAAAAAGACTCCGCTTCGTGAGCTGTTGTCGCAACTGTTGTTCATAAAATGACTCCTTCTGTCGAAACACAAAAATGCATGGGGGAAGTATCATTGGAATAAACTGACGGTACTAGAATAAGTACCGATGCTTCTTTTGTCAACACGGAAGGGGGGGGGCATATAAACGCCGATTCTTAAAGCGGCAACAGCTTCCTATCCATTTGCATAATCGCCCAACTATAGTGATTACCCACACTGAGGATAACTCAGTTACTATAGAGAGAGAGAGCCGGCTTCTTGCAAGGGGGGGGAGGAAGTGTAATGGCGTGTGTGTGGGGGGTGTCTTCATTTCCATCTCATTAGCGCCCTCGATTTCAAATCATTCAATTATCAACTCAACGGTACGAAGATAATTGAATTTTTTCTGCCCCCCCCTTTTCATTACAAAAGATGAACGGGAATGGGGGGAGGGGAGGGTGATTACGCCCTTTGATTCCCCAATTAGAGATGTTTTGCGATTCCTCTCTCGCTTGCTAATCGAATTTTCTCGATCCTTCTCCATAAACCCGAAACACAAATTTGCAATTTGAAACTGGAAAATAGACGTTAAGGCCCCGAGGACCCCCTTTTGGTCATGCATACCTGAATATATAAAGAATTAATAATACATTCCGTGGTTTTGGGAAGAAAAAAAAAGAAATTAACGTCTGAAAATATTTCATCTCTTTTCTTCATAATTTTTGAATCCCTTCCCCCTCCCCTCTAGAGATTCGAATAAATGTAAGTATTCTAAATAGAGGTAATTTTACGCTTTTGGAATCCTGATGAAATGTTATCCATTACTTTTTGGGGGGTGTTGGTGTAAACAGGCTTCTTTTTTTTTTCTTTCTTCCCTTAAAAGATTTCGGAGAAAAGAGAGTTTAATTGGTTTCTTTCATCCCTTTAATTTGACCCGTTGGCTTTTAATTATACCCTTCGAAAAATATTTTACCTTTAAGTTTTTATTATTGTTATTAACATCACCTCTCGAAACTTCACTTCCCGTAATCGATACGTTTTGTATCGTATCGTATCGCAACCGTATAGCAAAGTGATGGAGTTATGAAACATTTTAATTTATTTCGTTGAGCAGAAAAGAAAAGGGATTCGAATTAAAAGTGATGAAGGCACACCTTATTATTTCACAATTGTACGCATTAACGAATAAAGAACTAAATCAAAATGGCGACTTCTTAAAAAAAAGAAATCCCTAACCGAAACATTTTCTAAAAACTTTTTGTATTGATCTTCACATAGTGATCAGTTCGGATGAAATAGTCTGAAAAAATTTAAATTCGCTCTGAAAAGTTGTTTAGGCCTGAAGTTCAAAAAGAGAAGTTTAACGTGATTGATTCTTAAGCATTTCAATGTTTCGACTGTTTTTGGTGGTCTTAACCACGTTTGGTGGTCTTAACCAATGTTTGATGGTCTTAACCACGTATTGGAATCGACAGGTAATTTATAAATGTAGAAAAAAAAAACACAATGGAAATTATAATTATTGAAGGAAGCAAACCATAGTGGGTCATTTGAGTTAATAGGTCTATTTATTCTTGTCAACTTGTTATTGCTTTTAAAAATAAACAAATAAGCTTAATACAGTTAAAAACTGTGAAAATATGTTCTCTTTTCAAAATTCAAATTGTTTTAGACATTTAAACGCAGCTCATATTATACACACACATATTATACACGCACACACACATAATACACACACCTGATATATATATATATATATCCCAATATGGTGAAATAAGNGATGGATACCCATAAAAGTCGTTGAGTACACCTGCGTTGATTAAAAAAAAAGGTAAAGAACAATTCTTTATGGTTTTTATTTCTTCTAT